AAAGTGCTCCACAAAAGATGAGACAGGAGGAGGAGGCGCCGCGCTCAAAAGCTTTACGTTAGCTGTAATTAAAACAAGCCAGTGTGAAAGTGGAGTATCGAACAAAGGATTTCTATAAAACCTAAAATTTTACTCTCCGCTTTAATGCCAGAGGGTTCGGTTTTGTGAGGTGAGATTGACTTTAAGGTCCAATGTTACGCAAAATGGATCCTGGTGAGGTTTAAGTCATGTTATAATGCTGTTGCTTCCTCAAAAACAGACCTGAAGTTGTGTTTTGTTTCATTCACACGTTTGATTAACCCTTTATTATAAGTTTGTCTACATCCCCTAAGCTCAAAATGCTCTGTTCCACCTTGTGATGTCATGTTGTTTTCAAGTTAACACCAACCTTTTACTTTTTTGTCAGTAGAAATTGGCTAGCCTGATTCATCAGCCGGTTTCACTTCATAGAAACTGTCTGACCTTGCGGTATTAGGATTTGTTCGCTTGACGTAGGCGGGTACTTTTTATCATTTAACCAATCGCTGCTATTTGGTTGTCACATATGTAATGCGCCGCTAACAGGGCTAACTGGTATATTAAGCTTTATATAGGTGTTTCTCCTTGATAAAATTCACCAAACAATCTCTTTATTCCGGCTTTAAATCCTCGATTTACAGGGTAATCATTGACAACACGGAATATATGGCTCTTCACTGATTGAACTTGCACTTCCAGGGTTTTTGCGAACCTAGTGTATTCTGATTCCTGACCTAGTCACTGGAGAGAAATGAAATTGAGTGGAGGCACTGGGTGGCGCCAGCCTGGCTAGAGATTGGCAATCTCAGGGCTGAAATTATCCAAATGATTCTAGTGAAGCTGTGTGGAGCTGAAGGGCCCTTTCACACTGCTAGTTTGATTGTTAAATTGTAAATTAATTATAATTAATATATTATATACATATTATTAATAATAGTAAATTGTTATTGTGTAACATATAGACTCCAGTGTGGTCCTTTCACACCTGAAAACCAACCAAAATTGGTCCAATTGACATATATCCGCACATGTTCGGGGACGCTGAGGCTCTCGCGCATACCAGACCGCTCGGAAGCGAGGCTGAGAAGCACCATGTCACCCAGTAGCCTTCCCACGAAGCCCCTCCATGGGGTACAGATGGTGCAGGGCGGTCCCTCTTCCCCCAAGTGGAGGCATCTGCAGACAAGGCTTCTTAAAATCCTGCCTAAGAGCCTCCCTGGCCTGGGGAGCTCGAACTCACGAACCACCAGCTGCTGGGCAGGCGTCCAGATCCCGTCCCGGCTCCCGTCACGTCTTTCAACCAGTGCGCAAACACAGGGGACCTGGTTGATCTTGCCAGTAGAATACGCTTGTTTCAAAGATGAAGTCATGCAAGTCTAAGTCCACACGGCCGGTGCGAGTGGCTCATTAAATCATTATGGCTTCTTTGATCACTTTACCGTTACTTGGACCACGTGTGCCACGGTTGGAGGTTCGCCCCATGTCTTCTTCACTCACCAGAAACAGGAAATGAAATAATTAGTATCCCCTCCCATGATGCATTTCGAATAGTTCGTTTGGACCTACTATCTATGGTTTGGACCCGAGTTTGCGTTATCATCAGAAGGACCACACCAGAGTTTCGTAATTGGTGCGGAGTCAGTCGGACCGAGACCACCTCTTTTTGGAGGTCTCGGTCCGCTTGATATAGTGCAGATCCGAGTACGATTGAGGCTTTCACACCAACAAAAACAAACCGAACCTAGAGCTTCTGGTTCAAATGGAACATTAGTTAGTTGAGTGTTTGCTTATTTTTATTTATTTATTTATTTTTTTTCAGTTTGAGAGAAGAAATCAGTCTAAATATGCAGGTATTTAGTCGAAATTTAGTTTTTAAACACAACTCCAGGTATGTTTGTGATGAGAAAAAATATGGGCTCTTTACGGTAGTATTTTGAACTGCATCTGTGTGAGTGAATGAGGAATTGGTTTCATCTGGTATTAGGTTCGTGGTGACAACCGTAATGAGCGGATGCGTAATTATTTATGGTTTGTGGCTGCTGAGTGTCTATTTGGGAAATTTATGAGACATGTAAACGCTCTGTAGCTGATTTTTACTGTCTTAAACACGTGAAAAACTGAAGAACTAGTTGATTTTAAATGGTTTGTTTTTCCGCACTTACCTCATGCTTACAGAGCATCCTAATTATTCACCATGATGAGTTTATAAGCACTTTCTACTCACCGCTTTCAGAGGCCAGAGCGGATTTTTGTCGTCACGGTAATGCTAACAACAATAAAATAAAATCGGACAATAAAATGCTTTTTAATTACCGCGCAGCAGACATGTTTTAACCATATGAGCTGCTTATATAATACATCTGTACTGAGGGCAAGACAGATTTTTGCGTATTTTAAGTATTGGAAAAATTTGTGCAGAGGTAGTTTGGGTAGTTTATTTTGCAAATGTGTTCAGTTAAAGCGATTTCAAGGACTGATTTTGATTTTTCTGATTTTATTGCCTTGAATAGACTCTGATAAAACACCTCCTAACCACCTCACCTTGGCAAAAACAGAATTATAATTATAATCATTCATAATAATAATCACAAAAAGCACAACAAAAGTTCAAATGCCATCTCATACAAACCCAAAATACTGTAAATAAACGACCTAGTGAAAAAAAATTGGTCTCTAAAAGCTGTATACTTAAGGCCCTGTACCTTATTTTTTGCATGTAATTGTGTAACTTTTGTCTTGATCCAGTACAGATATATTATGTGTACTCAGGAAGTGTGTGTCAACATGCTAGTTGTTAACTTTCCGTCAAGCCAAAGCTCCACCTTGGTCTTTAGAGTTGGGAAAAGCTTATAAAGTCATTGCGGTGAATATTTAGGATCCTTGAAATGCTTAAGGTAAGTGAGGAATAACTTTGGACCATTGCAAACCGGGTCCATGTACCATTCGCTCTTTTGAATTTCCATTAAGAACGAAAAACGATAACATGGGAAAACAGTTTCTTATTTCATTATTCCATTTTAATGTCACAAAAAAAAAAAAAACTGATTTCGACCTCTGTTCCTAATATTTAATTTTAAGTTTATTTCAAATTACACCAATCAAAAAAATGTCTTCGTGCCTATTTTTTTTATGTTTTATTCTCTCAGAAATGAAACTTAAAACCACATGGCTCATTTGCATAAACTAAAGCTAAGCTATAGCTATAATCTAAAAAAAAAAAAAAACAGAGCTGTCCTTGTGCTGCTGATGTCATTGATTCTCATTGATTATTTATTTCGGTCACAGGTATATTTTGACATTAATTCACAGACAGTCATATTGAACATACACAGACCGAAAAGGTGTAGACTGAAGCTTAAAGGTTGTATGGAGGATTTTTTTTTTTTTTTTCCAAATTGTCAGTGAAAGTTTAAATTACCATTACAGAGATGCAGCAGCTTTGTAATTATGATGACCAAAAAAAAAAAAAAAAGAATGAAAATCTATCAACTGTGGATGTAGTGAGGCCAGATAAACATCAGCCAATAGATAACAAGGCTACCTCATTTTCTATTGGCTGTTAGGTTGTCAATCAAACTCCCTATGTTTCTAGTGTAACTGACTCGTTGGCGTGCGGGGATTACGTGGTTTATGCAGCGGTTCTTAGAGGCTTTTTCAAACTGTTGCTTCCTTGCAGTTCACACAAAATTTGTTGAGATAGCGGACGAGAATCCACGACCAATTCGCCACAAAAGAAAGTCCGTTTCTGAGGTCGCTGAAAGAAGAAGAGAAGGGGAAAAGGAGCAAAGCCAAACTGAGGTGATTCTTGGAGATTCCTTCCAGGGATGGCGCGACCGAAGCAGACAAAGGGTCTAAAAACTGACGCGTTGGTCACCAAATTATTTCTAGACAGGAAACTTCAACAGTAATTCTGAACGCGCACTGGCTGTAAACAAGCGTGATTTCTAGAGTAAAGAGGCAGGAAGAGATGTTTCTACTGAGGGAGCTGTGGAGGAGGAAGGTGGTGTCACGCATGCACAACATTTGAAAAAGGACTGTCTCTCTTCCCTTAAAAAATCCTCTATACAACCTTTAAGCTTATTATGCCTACCCTTTATTCCTTTATCGGAGCATCATCTTAACACCAGTTCATCTTCATAAATACAGCAAGAGGAAACAAACAAATCAGAAACAGTACAACAAAGTACTACAGCACAAACTATCATAATTCATGTATCTGTCCAGCATGTGCTGATGTGGTCAGCTTCTGTTGGACTAAGTAAACACTCCACTATAACAGAAGACCACATGTTTGTCCACAAAATTTTGATCAATCAAAATAAATTTTTCAGGTATTTTAACTTCTTGGGTTCTTTTTAAAGACAATGCAGTAAAGTGTGTTTACCTTGTTGACATGTTTCGGCTGCTAGCTGCAGGCCATCTTCAGAACTGTCACCGGTGTTGGTGGTGATGTGTCGTATATCAGCTGTTGTTACTTCCTGTAGGCGTGGTCAGCCTGATGGACCTGGCAGGTCGCTCAGACTGACCACGCCTCCCGTCGCCCGGTGTCTCTGGAGGAGGGTGTCCCAGGTGTGTGAAAGGAGGAACGCAGCCGAAACATGTCAACAAGGTAAACCCACTTTACTGCATTGTCTTTAAAAAAAACCCAAGAAGTTAAAGTATATAAGAAGACAAAATGAACATCTTTTGCTTAATTTTTCAGGTAAGTAAAGATTTGGCCGGTGTACAGACTACAACTTCCAGGGTTTTTGCAACCCATCTAGTGTATTCCATTTCCTGATTTAGTCGCTGGAGAGAAATTAAATTGAGCGGAGGCACTAGGCGGCACCAGCCTGGTTAATGTAGAGTGTGTTAATACGAACATTTTATGACCAAAATGATGACACTCACAGTAGCAGTTACAGAGAGAGGGGCGACAGTTTCCAATGTAAGTCATATATATATAGTCTATGGATCACAATTACAGTTACATTCCATGAACCATGTCCAGTCTCCCTTTAGAGGTGGCTCTGCTGATGCGAGTGACTCCTCCTCCAGTGTGGCTCCTCGACTGGTACGACCTGGGATCTGAGGTGGCACTGGTCATGCAGAGACCTGAACCCTGCGTAGATCTACTGGACTACATTACAGAACAAGAGTCTAAATGCTTGGAGACGACGGTTGCTCAGGTAAGTGGTGAAGGTGATATTTTTACGCTTGCTTTAACCTGTTTGAAGGTCTTGTATTCCACACAATTGACTCTTATAAGGTTTTGGTCATGTTATAATTTTGTTACCTCCTCAACAATATACCTGGAGTTGATTGTTTTATTCACACAAGCTTGAGAAACCTTTTATTATTATTAGTCTATTTACATCTCCAGAGCTCAAAATACTCTATACTGGTATTTAACAGCTACTTTTTATCTTTTTGTTCAGTAGCGATTGGCAGTTCCAAGTCTGAAATTAACCAAATTATTCTAGTGAAGTTGTATATAACATAGATCAGATGGGCCCTTTAAAATCTATCTTGGACCTCATTCTACCCATCTACTTTTCAAACTTCGAAGTTATGGAAGAGATGGTGCTCTTTTTATTGTACTGTCTTAACAAATTCTTTTTTACAATATTTCTTCGTCTTCTTGTTCTAGGGCATTTTTCCTCAGTTGGTGGAGGCGGCTATCGAAATGGAGGCTAAAGGAGTGTTCCACCGGGATATTAAACCTGACAACATTCTGATCGAGACTGGAGCAGATGTGCCCAGAGGCAGGTTCATCGACTTCGGCTGTGGGACCACCTTCACTCCTGGACAGATGTTTGATGAACCACAAGGTAAATCACCGGACCTATAAAATATAACTAACCATACTCCTCCGTGAAAACCCAGTGGACCCTTTAAAAGTTTGTAAACAAATACATTATACATTCTGGTTTGGAGGCAACTGTGGGCAAACGTGAAGTGGAAAATAATGTAATTTAAATGTAGAAATTAGGATTTGTATCAAAATGACAAAATAGGAAACAAAATTAAGGTTGTTTTGTTCCATCAGATATGTGTAATATTAGAAGCCTTTTTTATTTTTTTATTTTAGAAAAGTCAGATTTTTGTGTACATACAGCATGAGTAAACTTTAAGAATACTTTAAGTAGTATATTTAAAGTATATAAATAGTAGGCTACAAGTAATATGCCAAGCAAACTTAAAGTATAACGACAAGTTAAACTAGAAAAATAACCGAAGTTTACAAAAGTATACTTAAAGTAAACCATAATAAACTAAACATAGGTACTCGAAGTATATAACTTGTACATGGCAGTATATAGATAAATGTACTTGTGACTTTGGAAAACAAAAAATTATATCAAGGTCATATCTAGGGGTAAAATATTCAATCCAAATTATTTTTATACAACCCAAAATCATAGCATTTAACTAACAGAAAGATAGAAAATAAAACAATTAAGCAAAAATCAAACAAGAGAACGTGTGTACTAATTTAAAGAAATCCCTGCATAAACATTTTTATTTGGTTTATTTGAGGATTTTTCATAGTTATGTTTTTTTGTTTTGTTTTTGCAGTTTTACAGTAACCTACAGTATTTAGCAGTGACTGTAACATACTGTAGGTGTATGATTCCATGCAAGTGATTCCAGTGAAAGTTCAAACCGCACTATGGAACATTTTCCATAGAGGTAAATAAGTTTTATGCCAGGCAGGATGAGACTGTCCTCTAGGCTAAATAAGAGTCAGGTTTGTGGACATGCAAGCCCAGTAAGGCCACATATCTAAACACAGACAAAGCAGAGAGCCGATTGAGGGCTGTAGACTGGTGAATAATTTAAATATGTGCATGTTTATCACATTAGAATGAGCCATCAGTCTTTAATCATGCTAAGATCCTTTAAAATGACACACCAAATATTAAATATTAACTTTATCAAGATAGATTTTCAGAAAACTTGCAGTAAAAAGTTAATTAAAATTTTTTAATTTGGGCCAATTTACCTGGAAGCCTGAGGGCTAAGAAAAATTTGTCTGAGGGCCGCATTTGGCTCACGGGCCATAGTTTGCACATGCCTGATTTAGTATATTTAAAAGTCACAAAACGTGGCTTTAAAACAAAAAAACACCACTGGCTGTTAAGATGAAGAGTATGCAGACCACATCACATTTTACTAGTTTTTCAGTAAATCTTACACATTTTTGCCTTGACTTTTCTGAAATCAAATCATCAGGGCAAAACTCCCACGCATTGCATTTTTTCTGCCCTTGACATTTACCGATACTGCTGAAGTGCTACTCTTTGGCCGACCGCATCAGACCCCACCAGAATACAGAAGAAACCTGTATTAACTTCTCAACCGAAATGACAGCTCTCTTAGAAGACTTATTCTATTTTCAATCTCTTCATCCTCCACCATTACCACTGCATTTCTGTGGCCATGACAACACCAAAATAAAACTGGATGGGGAAAAAAGTGTCTTGTTTACTGTGCGCATGTGTTAGCTCAAGGTTAATGAATGGTTACGTATTTTGGTTCTTCGTTTTTAAAGTCTGAAGGAGATTTTCGTTGCCATTAAGTGAAAAAAACACTCTTATATTTGTGTGCCTCAAGGTCTTTCTATTCAAGAGAAGTTTTACAAGCAGAGTTTTTAAGATATGTTTAAAGAAAGAGATAAGTCACCCCCATACCTTTTAAGTCAATAAAAATGTTTCAATATTAGTGTAAATTAGTGTAGAATTAGCATGGAGAAGTTGGAGAAACTGCAATTAGCCTGTCCTCTTATTGGGTTGAAAAGGATGTAAGTAGGTACTTAGATAGACGACACATAAAAGTTTTTCTCATCATGCCTCATCTAAAAGCTTACAAACTCTAGATTTCATGCACTGAGCAGCAGAAGCCTCAGATCAAAGAGAATCTTTATAAGTTAAAAGCAGCTGGATTTCGGCATTGCAACTGGCAACCCAAATGATAATCTGAAATCGGAGAGACAGGATATGGCTCCAGACTCACACATCTTTGTAAAGTATTGTGAAAGTGTGTGGTTTTGGCTGGCCAGATACTCATAACAGATACTTTATTTTTTCCCAATACCCTTAAGCTTGTTCTCTAGCTTAGTTTTTCATTTAGGTACTCCTGTCTAAAATCTTTGCTCAAGAGCTGGAGAAGGATTCTTGAAAGTTTGATCCAGCACTTTGGATGGGTCAAAAAATAGGAATTAATGATTAAATTATGCCTAAAAATTCAGCCCGACCCAAGTCCACACATGTACTATCCAAACCCAACCATCCATTCCTTGTATGTTCAAGGAGAATCAAAAAACTCTTACAGGAAGGAATGGCTTTAAATTATTAATTGGTTATTGGTAGGCAAGATTAGCCAGGCTGGCGTCACCCAGTGCCTCCGCTCAATTTCATTTCTCTCCAGCGACTAGGTCAAGAATCAGAATACACTAGATGGTTTGCAAGAACCCCGGAAGTTGTAGACCACGCACCGGCCAATCAGCAAAGAACTGTGAAGCCATGATGTCAAACTCAAGCATTTGTCTCGGTCCCTTTTGTGGAACAGCACAACAGTAAACAAAGCGGTCGAGATGGATGTAGACTAAGACAGACATTCTGTGTTGGCAACGATTCCCGAGATCGAGGATTTAAATCCGGAACAAAGCGAATGTTTTTTGAATTTTATCAAGGGGAAAAACGTTATTGCCCTTCTTCCTACGGGATTTGGGAAAATCTTAATATACCAGTATACCAGCCCCGTTAGTGGCACATTACATACGTCACGACCAAATAGCAGCAATTGGTTAAATAAAAATGGTACCCACCTACCGTCGAGCGAACGAATCCTAACACTGTGAGGTCAGACGGTTTCCATGAAGTGAAACTGGCTGATGAATCAGGCTAAGACAAGATACCATCAAGGAAGAAAATGCAATCATCGTAGTTGGAATTACATTTTTGATACGCTGTAAAAGTGCCATAACTATACACAACAATATTTTAAAAAAAACAGTTGCACTTAAATGGGCTGTAAGCCTTTTTGTTTTTTCTTCTTTGTTTTGTTGTCTAGAAGGATAATGTAAAAATAGCTTTGCCCACATACTTTAACAGCTGGTTCTGCTTTGTACGACCTACTGTCACAGTTAGAAGGCCTGGAATTGTTGACCTTGCTTTTGCTCCTGACAATTGTAATGCTCTTATAAAGTCATTTCAACCTGGAGAGGCTCAGACAGCCACAAAGACACAGTATTTGTAGTTTTATTGAATGAGTTTTCGTTTGCTCAGACCAGAGCAGAAGACATCACGATGAAGGGCGTGGCAGAGTAGAGGTTTAGGAGATGTGGTGTGACTTAGGAGAGTGAAGGAGACGATGAGAGGATGAGGTGAGTGAGGGTGGCGATGAGAGGATTGAAGGGGATGATGAGAGGGTGAGAAAACTGAAGGAGACAATGAGAGGATGAGAAGATTGAAGGGGATGATGAAAGGGTCAGGAGAGTGAAGGGGACGATGAGAGGATGAGAAGATCGAAGTGAACGATGAGAGAACAAGGACCAAGAAAATGGGACAATGAGATGATGAGGAGATTGAAGGAGATGATGTGAGGATGAGAAGATCGAAGTGGACGATGAGAGGATGAGGAGAGAGAAGGGGACAATGAGATGATGAGGAGATTGAAGGAGATGATGTGAGGATGAGAAGATCGAAGTGGACGATGAGAGAACAAGGACCAAGAAAATGGGACAATGAGAGGATGAGGAGAGTGAAGGGGACGATGAGATGAGAGGATGAGAAGTTCGAAGTGGACTATGAGGTGATGAGAAGATCGAAGGGGACGATGAGATGATGAGGAGATTGAAGGGATGATGATGTGAGTGAGAAGATCGAAGGGACGATGAGAGGACCAAGAAAATGACAATGAGAGATGAGGAGAGTGAAGGGGACGATGAGATGAGAGGATGAGAAGTTTGAAGTGGAGAGGTGATGAGAAGATCGAAGGGGACGATGAGAGGATGAGAAGATTGAAGGGGATGATGAAAGGGTGAGGAGAGTGAAGGGGACGACGAGAGGATGAGAAGATCGAAGGGGGCAATGAGATAAGGAGAGTGAAGGGAAAGATGAGATGATGACGAGAGTGAAGGGAACGGTGACAGGATGAGGAGAGCCAAGGGGACAATGAGAGGATGAGAAGATCAAAGAAGACGATGAGATGATAAGGAGAGTGAAGGGAACGATGAGAGAATGAGAAGATTGAAGGGGACGATGAGATGATGAGGAGAGAGATGAGGACGATGCGATGATGAGGAGAGTGTAGGGGACGATGAGAGGATGAGAAGATCAAAGGCGACGATGAGATGATGAGGAGAGAGAAGGGAACAATGAGATGATCAGCAGATTGAAGGGGACGATGAGATGATGAGGAGATTGAAGGAGATGATGTGAGGATGAGAGAGAGTGAAGGGGACGATGAGATGAGAGGATGAGAAGTTCGAAGTGGACTATGAGGTGATGAGAAGATCGAAGGGGACAATGAGAGGATGAGAAGATTGAAGGGGATGATGAAAGGGTGAGGAGAGTGAAGGGGACGACGAGAGGATGAGGAGAGATCGAAGGGGGCAATGAGATAAGGAGAGTGAAGGGAAAGATGAGATGATGACGAGAGTGAAGGGAACGGTGACAGGATGAGGAGAGCCAAGGGGACAATGAGAGGATGAGAAGATCAAAGAAGACGATGAGATGATAAGGAGAGTGAAGGGAACGATGAGAGAATGAGAAGATTGAAGGGGACGATGAGATGATGAGGAGAGAGATGAGGACGATGCGATGATGAGGAGAGTGTAGGGGACGATGAGAGGATGAGAAGATCAAAGGCGACGATGAGAGGATGAGAGAGAGAAGGGGACAACAATGAGATGATCAGCAGATTGAAGGGGACGATGAGATGATGAGGAGATTGAAGGAGATGATGATGTGAGATGAGAGAGAGTGAAGGGGACGATGAGATGAGAGGATGAGAAGTTCGAAGTGGACGATGAGGTGATGAGAAGATCGAAGGGGACAATGAGAGGATGAGAAGATTGAAGGGGATGATGAAAGGGTGAGGAGAGTGAAGGGGACGACGAGAGGATGAGGAGATCGAAGGGGCAATGAGATAAGGAGAGTGAAGGGAAAGATGAGATGATGACGAGAGTGAAGGGAACGATGACAGGATGAGGAGAGCCAAGGGGACAATGAGAGGATGAGAAGATCAAAGAAGACGATGAGATGATGAGGAGAGTGAAGGGAACGATGAGAGAATGAGAAGATTGAAGGGGACGATGAGATGATGAGGAGAGAGATGAGGACGATGCGATGATGAGGAGAGTGTAGGGGACGATGAGAGGATGAGAAGATCAAAGGCGACGATGAGAGATGAGGAGAGAGAAGGGAACAATGAGATGATCAGCAGATTGAAGGGGACGATGAGATGATGAGGAGATTGAAGGAGATGATGAGGATGTGAGGATGAGAGAGTGAAGGGGACGATGAGATGAGAGGATGAGAAGTTCGAAGTGGACGATGAGGTGATGAGAAGATCGAAGGGGACG